GCACAGGTAATGGGGAAAAAAATAAGAACCAAGATATATCATGTATAGGTACAAACACCCAATGATAAATGTAAATGAACTGTATACCTTAAATGTACCAATAAAAGAATTAAAAAAATTAATGGCAAAAGAAACCACAGAAAATTTACAAACACCTGGACAGCATTAAATAACACACTCCCGAATACTCAGTGAGTCAAAGAAGAAATCAAGAAAGAAATTAATTCCTAGAATCAAACAATAATGTTAGCACAACATAGCAGAACCAATAAAAGCAGTCCTAAGAGGCAAGTTTACAGCTGTGAATACCCATACCAGAAAAGCACAGCAGCATCACTTCTCAGCCTTTTGTCTAAGATCAAGTGTAGAAAAGCACAGCAAACCCAAATAAATAACCTAGTGATGTACCACAAGGTCCTAGAAAACCAAGAACAATCCAAATCCAAAGCTAATACTAGGGAGGAAATTATAAAGATCAGAGTGGAAATTAATGAAATTGAGACTAAAAATCAATACAAAAATCCATAAATCAAAGAGCTAGCTCTTCAAAAGAATAAACAGAATAGCCAAGTCCTTAACCAAGCCTATAAAAAGGAGAAAAGACTCACATCAATGCAATTCGAAATGAATAAAGCAATATCACAACAGATACTGCTGAAATCCAGAAGACTATTGTATTAGTAACTATTTTTAAAACCTGTACTCCAATAAATTGGAGAATCTAGAAGAAATGGATAGATTCCTAGACACATTTGAATTACCAAAACTGAATCAAAAGGATATAAAAAGCCTGAACAGTCCAATAACAAACAGGCAATGAAACTGAGGCAGTAATAAAAAACCTACCAACTAAGGAAGCTCAGAACCTGATGGATTCACCGCGCTGAATTCCACAAGAACTTCAGGGAAGATACAACACCAATACTCTCCAACTCTTTAACGAAACTGAAAGGAAAGGAGTGCTGCCAAATTCATTTCTGGAAGCTAGCATTACCTTGACTGTAAAACCAGACAAGGACTCAACTGAAAAAGAAAACTAGATACAAAAATCCTCAACAAGACACTGGCAAAAAGAATGCATCAAATCACCAAAAAGATCATACATCACGACCAAACAGATTTCATCTCAGGGATACAAAGATGGTTTAATGTATACAAAGTGATAAATGTAATTCATCATATAAACAGGAGCAAGGACAAACTACATAATCTTTTTTTTTTTAAATTTCTTTGGTACCGGGGATCAAACTCAAGACCCTGTGCTTGCGAGACAGGCACCAGAACCACTGAGCTAAATACCCG